AAACCCCCCCCCCCCCCCCCCCCCAAAAAAAAAAAAAAAACTTAGGATAAGATTATCTTAACTGAGCACTGACAACTTGGGATTGTAGATTGGGCAGTAATACCTTTTAACGTCTCAACCCAGACCTTGAACCTTAAACCTTGCGGGGTCGAACTACACTGAAAGAAAAATACTGCAGCTCATATCAACCTTAGCACGGGTTACGGGCTGCACGGGACGGTCGAAGGCAAGCAGGTTCAAATCATCAGTGAGATAGCAGAGCCAAGGCGGGGCCATGAACGGCACGTGCTGCACCCACCGCCTCATGCGGACCCTGGTGTGCTTTCCCATTACTGCAATTCTTCGAGATCCACCGCTAGATGTAAGTAATATCGCAGGACATGTGTGCTATCGATTGGATGCTGGAAGTCTCCGGAAAACTCCGAAACACTCCTGTGATGGCGAATCCGACATGATGTGGGTCAGCGCCTTCCCTTTCTTCTTCTTCTCCGCCACCTTCTTACACCCAGGTTTGTTCACGGGCTTCATTATAAACTGCCCCATTGTAATACATTCTAGAAAATCTGCTGGGAGATGCAGCAGGTCAGAGACTCCCAAATAGCTCAGGTTTCTCTCATTTTCATCAATGTACCAGGCGATTGTGGAAATCGCTTACGAGCAGCGAAAAGGCTGTACGATGATTTGCTCAGCGACTACAATCGTCTCATCAGACCCGTGTCGAACATTTCTGACAAACTCACTGTTCACCTGGGGCTCAAGCTTTCCCAGCTCATCGATGTTGTAAGTTCATTCGAACTGTACTATATACAAGTTGTGCATGCACACACACGAAATCATTTTAATGACATTCGCCGTTTCAGAATCTACGGAATCAGATCATGACCACCAATGTCTGGGTAGAACAAGTAAGATCTCAATTCTACCGAGACCGCTTGGCCATGGTTTCATTATCTCCAACTTCAGATCCTCTTTTTATTTTGCAATCAAGCAATGGATAGACTACAAGCTGAGCTGGGATCCGAATGAATACGGCGGGGTGCAAATGCTCTACGTCCCCTCGGAACACATCTGGCTCCCTGACATCGTCCTGTACAACAAGTACGAGTCTTTTTTTGCCATCATAACGTGAACTCAAGGGAAAATAGCGGGCTGCTACAAATGATACTTCCATGTAACTCCTGTTTTACTTTCCTTGCAGTGCTGATGGTAACTATGAAGTGACGCTGATGACGAAGGCCACACTGAAGTACACTGGAGAAGTTGAATGGAAACCCCCAGCCATTTATAAAAGCAGCTGTGAAATGGACGTGGAATGGTTCCCATTCGATGAACAAAGCTGTACTATGAAATTTGGGTCATGGACTTATAATGGCTTCCAGGTAGGTGTCAAATTATTATCCTGCATTCGTTCCACCGTTCTTGGAAAATATTATTCAGAATGGCTGCGTGTATCATGACATAATATTGTCTTTTTATTTTTACTACAGGTAGACTTAAAACACAAAGACCAGAATCCGGGAAGCAACATCGTCCCAATAGGTATCAACTTGAAGGAATTCTACAAGTCAGTCGAATGGGACCTTCTAGAGGTGCCAGCTCAGCGCAACGAGGAATACTTTCGAGACGAGGAATTCTTCCCCGCCATGGATGTCCCCTACCCAGGTACTGCACATGGCAGCTTGTCGGACTAGCAAAGACCCCATCGGAATGATGCAGTTTGCAGGAATAATGATCCATATGGATTGGTCTATCTTCCCCTCGCAGACATCACTTTCAACGTCACTCTGCGGCGGAAGACATTGTTCTACACGGTGAACCTGATCGTGCCGTGCGTGGGGATCTCGTTCTTGACCGTCTTGGTGTTTTACCTGCCGGCGGATTCCGGGGAGAAAGTATCGCTCTGCATCTCTATCCTCGTGTCCCTCACCGTGTTCTTCCTCCTTTTGGCTGAGATCATCCCGCCGACTTCGTTGGCCGTACCCTTGCTAGGAAAATACCTTCTCTTCACCATGATCCTCGTCACTCTCAGCATCTACGTCACTGTCTGCGTTCTCAACGTACACTTCCGCAGGTCTTCCACTCACAAGGTAACTCATTATGCAAAGCAATCCTGTCTTCGAAATACGCATGGGCGCACCCTATAAGGCTCCAGGATGCCCCTTGTTTCCTTGCGTTATGGTGAATCTCGTTCAGCTTTATTTCTTTGCGCTACTGCAAGTTCCTAAGCAGTAGTTGTGGACATACTCGTTACTGACATTGTTGATCCAACAGCAAAGAAATATCAATGGCAGTAAAGATGATTCCGATTACAGTATTGATATAAGCTGTGAAGGGCCCATGAATACCGCTTTCCAGCTTATTCATTAGACGGTTTCGTGATAATGGATCATGGTTTCTTGAACAAATTAGATGTCTCCCTGGGTGAAGCAAGTATTCATCGATTTCATGCCCCGCTTGTTGCTAATGCGGCGACCCGAGATCGCCAAGCACAGACCCTTGGAAGAGGAGCTCAAATACCTAGACTACGGGTACAATGAACTGGATTTCAGGTGAGTCTCATGGGGAGAAAGTCATTCGAGCTATTCCCAGAGGAGTCTGGAGACTAAGAGAGGTCTGTCCGTGCTTTATTCAGGGACTCGTACATGATGCCGAGAATCAATGGACCTGGAGGAGATTCTTCGCCTTTAAGAAGCCTCAGATTGGGGATCCGAGAGGAGCTCTATCATCAAACCGGCGAAGACCTTTCCAGCTCCAGGAGAAACTATTCCCCTGATATCCTCCGTGCTATAGAAGGGGTTCAGTTTATCGCCCAGCACATCAAGGACGACGACGAATATAATGAGGTATTCGCGTTCCCTTTGAAATATCAAAAGCCTCTTATAGAAAACGTCTGCATGGTCAAGTGGAGGATGATCGACCGGTACCTTAAGAGGTTTCCATTGCCATTCTTTTGAACTTCCAACATTAAGATTCTAATATGTTGCAAAGAAGCAGTTAAAGTATTCAGCTACAAACCCTTCATCTTCCCTATTTTTCCTTGTACAGTATAAGGCTTCTCTGCATGAGCTTCCTAAGTATGCTGGTCAGAATGCCAACATTTGTATTTTATCTACCCATAATTTACAGATATAGGTATATCATCCTGACTAATGCAGAAAAATGCAGAGTATTTTATTTGTGTTTTGATAAAAAAAAGTTATTGAATGATCCTGTGTGAAGGTACAAGAAGAATGGAAGTACGTTGCCATGGTTTTGGATAGACTTTTCCTCTGGGTCTTCACCATCGCTTGCGTCGTCGGCACTTGTGGCATTATCCTTATGGTTCGTTCAACCCTTTCCTGGGAGAATTAGAAGGGGGAAAAAAAAGAAGTTATCTGTATCTCTGGATGATCTTGTTTTCTACAGGCTCCGAGTCTGTACGACACGAGGGCTCCGATTGACACCCAGTTGTCGGACATCGGACGAAGTTTCGAGCACTTCGCCGTTTAGATTCGACACCTATCCAGGGATGCATGGATAACGTCTTCTCCAAGTCTTCTCTCAATCCCAAATCTTGATGCCAAAACAAATAACCAAAGTTGATTGTAGGAAACAAGAATAGCTTACGCTTTCTCTTCTCTTCTCGGGCGCCTGTTGCCAAATTCGATTTTGAGGTTTATTTCACTTGATTGTGTTTTCTATAAAAAAAAATTGAATTTTGTGCTCCAAACTTCAAGAGTTTCCTGGTAGACATGTGACTGAGTATAAGTGATGAGTTTTTACTATTTTTTAAAAACAACATGTGATTTTGGAATATGAGGCATTGTTGAAAGCATGTAGGAATCTGATTATCAATAAAGTTATATGTTCGAAGCAGCAAAAATAATCTATTTCCCATCCCATATTCATCAAATACAGACCCGTATCACAAAGGATATACGTACCTCGAGTAACTTCAGTTTAGTTTTTTTTTTAGTTTGTATCTTAGATACATTTTGCTGTGTTTGTACTTGAGCAAATACTTTTCGAATCAAATATTTTTTTAACACTAAGCAATCGTGAAAATCTCGGTCCAAAAACTGTTACACAACGATTTCAAGCATGTAGCGCCCCAAAAGCATGTAGGACCAATAACTGGTGCTCCCTTTGAATAAAAACACGTAGCGTAGAAAACACGGAGTACCTAATTTCGTAGGGCCAAATTTGATCTGAAGCCAGATATCACGTAGCATCGAATCATGTAGGAATGAATCACGTAACATCGAAAACACTGGACGGTCTCACAAGAGGTAGAACATTTTTTTGATCGAAAACACATTGCGAAATCACGTAGCACCAAAACCCCCTAGCACCGAATCACATACCACCAAAACCCCTTGGCATCGAATCACGTATCATCAAAAATATATTGTGCCAAGTGCGTGAAGGCCTAAAGTATCTATCGTATCCCTCTCTCCCAGCTTGTCCTCGCTTCACCCCCCTTTGCAGCTCCATAGCTTTCTAACCCGTGCCACCGTCCTCTCCTCATTCCTGTAAATTAATGCCTCCCTTTGCAATATCTCCGAGAATAGTAAACAAGTTATGTTCGCAGCTCCGAGAAAAAGCACAAGCAGTAAGTGGTATATCTGGGGAGAATATCTTTCTGTTCAATATATATGGGTTTCTCCACCGGTGAAGAGGAAAATCTGGGCATCTGTGGAATGAAATAATTACTGCAAAGAGGATGATGGACTCTGCTCGTCTTCCTTTTGGTTGCGCTGATGGTTTATATTTTAAATATATTAATAGGAAGGGGACGAAAGAGAGTAGGGACCTTATTCACGAAACATTCTTACGAACTTTTTTCTTTGCAAGAAAAGTTCGTAAGTGGTATTCATGAAACATTTTTTGCGTAAGATGTTTGTACGATCTTCGTACGCAGTTCGTAAGAATGCTGCACAATTTCGGTATTCACGAAAGTACAAAAGTTTGTAACATTCTTCGTAAGTCTACCAATGATCACGAGGTACCGTAAGTACCCAGAATAATGATACCGAAGAAGTATGTGGAATTTTCTTTAATTTGGTGCCTTAATTAAGCTAGTGTTCATTCGCACTAGGGGGTTAACAGGATATATGCACTCAGGATTCGCAATATTTCGCCTTGTAAGTCATGAGGTCCATTCACATTCATCAAGTGTCAGAAAAGGAAGACGATAATGCTCCCACAACGCTCTTTTTTTCTTCCTTCAATTACTGTTTAAATCTTTTGACATAGATCGGGTAGCGGGGAATATGGTGATCCACTGCCAGTCCTGCTAGTCTCCCTAACAAATTGAACTCCAGGATCATCATGACCTCCAAATTCAGTAAGCTGAATTGGGAGGTTGTGAAGAGCAGAGAAGTGCGCAGAGGCTCCTGATAATAAGTAATTTAATATCATCCACCGTAGTTGTTTATTTCCCTAATTTCATGAAGCTAGATTACTCGCTGCCAGGTAAACCAGAAGAGCACGATAAAAACATAATGCTGACATTTCGCCGAAAGCAAATTGAGCCTCAGCTAGTGTTGATAGCTCGAAACGGACGAATGCACCAAGAAAATCTTGTGCAATGATCGCCCGATCATTGGACCATTCGGACACTCCCAATATTGCATTGCTTGTGATGACACACATTCGACCTATATCACATTTTTATATTGAACTTGAGTATTGCCCCATTTTAGGGGTCCAATATTGAGTCAAGATAGAGTACCAATGCCAAGCTGAATTCTATACGTCAATAAGGGTCCATGATGACGTATTTCCTATGCTACTTGTCTTTGGTGCTACGTGTTTTCGATGCGATGCGTTTTCGAGACGAAATGAATTTGGTTACTTTTTACGTTTGATCCTACATGATTTGGTACTACGAGATTCTGTCCTACGTGATCGAGAGCATATCTCGGCTAATTAGGTGATTTTTTCCGACTCCAAGTGCTTTCGACCCTGCCTGTTTTTGAGGCGGTGTTTTCCATGTTACGAGTTTTTGGCGCTACGTGGTTTGATGCTATGAGATTCGATGCTGCGTATACGTCTCCGTCAGAACATCGCCAGCGACAAGATAAAAATTATGAAAAATATCTCTGGCTTATTTAAATGTTTGTCGCGTACGATATTGGATTTCTGAAAAAATCTGACAAGACAGTTTCTCATGCAAGGAGTACTACATACGGCTCAGGGAAGTCCCACATTCAAGGAGTTCTGTCAAGTTAAGATAAGATAGGGGAGGAACTTGACTAGGTCATAAAATGCTTCTTTCTCCCCACCGAGGACAAGATCCAATTGTCTTTATGCGGCCAACCTCCTCCAGTGACAGGAATTCGCACATCTGACGATCTGAAAACGACAAGGTTATCGGAAGACCTCGACGAGGTCAACTAAGGCTTGCATCCTCAAGCAAGGCCAACTGATAAGAAGAGTAACAAAGGAGAGGGACAAGAAATTGAAGTGTGTGATCCTCAAAATAAAACTTGGACTTCGCGGTCCCGAAATAAAAGAAACCCTGAATATTAACACTGCGCACCGCTCACGGAAATTTCCGTTTTTGAATCCTTTTAGGAGTCCTTTTGCCTAGCCTATGACCGAAAAAGTCATCGAGCTTTAGGCTAAAGTAACTGAGGTTAAGGCCAGAGCGGCGGATCGACGGGGTAAATTGTCTGGTACGCAATGTACTCAATCAGTTGATCACCTTCAAATCAGCCTGTGAGGAAGTGCTATCGTGTTTTGATGAATCAGCTCGGACTCCACGCTAAGATGACAGAAGTATTTTCTTATATAAATGCCGCAGCGGTGAAAAGCTGTGTGAAGACATGCTACAACGGCGTTGACGGCGTGGCGTATTATTATCTCTAGTGTTTTTGTTGTGATCTGAACAGCTATATTTCAAGCTATCTGTTGATCGTTTGTCGCGTAGATATTTTATCACGTCGATGTTTTGACTCGTCGATGTTTTGTCGCGTCGGTGTTTTGTCGAGTCGATTTTCATCATGTCGATGGTTTGTCATTGATGTTTTGTCGTTTCGATGTTTTGACATGGAACCTTTCCATCATACCCTGTTTTATGATTGTTATGAAGGCGTTGTGACTTTTGTGACACGAGCAAGCTAGTCCACAACCTGCAAACATGAAAATATAACATGAAAATACAGTGGATTCCGCTTTATCGGGACGCCTTTGTTCCAGCTCAATATGCTCCAATTAAGTGGCTGTCCCGATAATGCGATCTTTTCTTATAGAAAAGAATAATTAAAATAGTAAGAAACCCAAACGTGAATGCCCTTTATTTGTGCTGAGAGCTGCTTCAACTTCAGGCCTTCCCTTTTCCTTTGTTGCTTCCACGGGTTGGTTCGTGCCTCTACTGACCATCTCTCTCTTAGCGCCTGTTCCTTCGTTACAAGTCTGGTCACAGTGGATTTTGGCACACCAAGGAGCTCAGCCAGATGGCGTTTACTGGTCCCTGGTGATTGCAATTTAATCTGGTTTTGGAGCGCGCTCTTCTCACAGAGGGACAAATCTCGCGCTTCGACATCACATACACTACTGAGGACTCCAATCCCAGACTAACGGCTTAAATCTACCCGGCCTTGCCCAAACAAAGTGGATTTTATTCCCGAATATACAGCGATATTTAAATGCACTTGAATAGGAATGATTCCGTTCCGGACAAAATGACCCATTAAACCGGCTGCCCCCATTAACCGATGGCCAAATGAAGCTGAATCCACTGTACTGAGAAAACATCTCTTGAAGTATTATGATCAGAAAATAATTTAAAGGTAGAGATACCATACCATACCATAGCTATATCGCATCTAGATCCTTCATATATTGGTTCCTGATGGTTACGATAGAAGAAAGAGATGTGCGAGACCCTCCATATCGACGAAGCGAATCCAACATTTCGGGAAAGGCTCAGATGTCATATGAGGCTACGTTTCACGTCTCTGGTCGTGTGAATCGACACCAGTGCCAACTTTTGGCGCTGAAAATCCGAAGGCTGATTGTGAACACCAGAGAGACTCTCCCAAACTCAACTTGTGGTCAGCCATATCCTCCTCACCTGGCATCATAGGGCTTCTATCTTTCCTCCAAAATCAAATTCATTGCAGCCGTGAATGTGACGAATGGAGGGAATGTGGAGATGTTGGAAAATAGCTTTGAACCTTATCTGTGCCAAAGAGGTCAGTTTTTTTCCAGCAGGACGGTGCACCAGACCACTTTTGACTGCAAGTTTGAGCATTCCTGGATCGGGTGCTTCCTGAGAGGTGGATAGGACGAAGGGGTCTAATTGAAAAAACAGCAAGATTTCCTCACTTGAAACCTTTTGCGGAGGTATTTGAAAGGTCAGGTCTACACAACAAAGCCCAGAGATGTCAGAGACTTGGAAGACGGCAGTAGAGTAGAAAATGATTCTTCGGGACATGCTGGAGAGGGCCTTTGAGTGTTCCGTCCAACGTGGGGCGAAATGTATTGATATCGACGGAGGGCATGTTGAAACATTTCGAAGACTCAGAAATTTCTCCTTTTGGAGAAGGTAATTCAAAATGACCTGCTATCGTTCAGTTAATGATAATCCTTCTTTGTGCCAATTGTTTAAAAGATATGATTTTTTGAAATGATATTGTGACTTATAGGACACCTTGTACATACGATTCTCCGATAATCAATATATCCGAATACTGCGTTGAATATTCGTATCTTTTATCTGGATTTTTGATATCTTATTTTGCCCATCTCTTTATTTCATCTCATCTGATCAGGCTCTCAAAGATATTCTATCCTCAATGAACGCCGCGAATTCCATTTTCTATGTATACGTGTAACGTGTAATTCACTCCGAAATTTTATTATTCCCGTTTCCTCTGCCAGGATTCAGTAGGGGATAGGATAAGGGTAAAAATAGAAAGTCCAGGAATTCTCATTTCTTTTCTTCCACTCCACGGGGCTCAAGTGACTCATTTCCAGCCATCGATTCGCCTCCACCGTCCCGACCTCATGGCTCCACACCTCAATATATATGGGGATGAAGCATAAAAGGGAATATTCGAACATCCTCACGAAAATTTACCCTGTAAATTTACTGCCTTCCGATTTAAACTTCCGTAATTTTTATTGGATAGGAGCTATTCCGAAGAATCGTCAGCCAGGATTGCCGGGGAGGACCTTTGCGTTGTTTCTAATTATGACACTTTTTCATGTCAGAACCAGAGAGCGAGGAACCAGAATTGCATCCTTCCCCCCCCCCCCTCCCAGAGGATTCTTACGAATGGATTGGAAGAGCATAGAGGATGGGACTTACTCGTTTCAAGTAATAGACCTTCATGGCCTCGAGACGATTCCCTTGTTTAAGAGCTGCATTCCGACATTTGATCAGAAGTGCATCGGATGCAGAGATTTGGCCTCGAATTCGGGTCAGATACGCCGACAACAAGAGCAGTCTCGCTCCCAAACAGATTGGATAAAATCCAGCTCATTCCGTTAAAAAATTCTCTCACAACTTGGATGGAGATGATACCTGGGCTTGAAGATTGCAAATCTCTTGAGATATCCCTTGATCTCCTGGAATTCACTCTGAACTTGGGGGATGACACTGAGGAAATGCTCGTATTTCCGCACCTTCAACATGTCGTTCATGGAAATCAGTCGGCATTCCAGAAGTTTCAACGAAGCACTGATGAGGTAGAAATCGTTCATATGAGGCGGTTTTCTCATCTGTGACGACTTCCGAAAATAGGGGGGGATACATGTACTATATAAATCACACAGTACATAAATGCCCTGGGTTGACTGAGAATTGCAATATAATTTCAACAGACCGTAAAAAAGTGGTTGGCGAGTTCTCGGTGCTTGCATCGACAGTGCCAAAGTGCCAGTGAGGCTAGCAGAGGGTAGTGGTTGGAATTTTGCTCTAAATACGCGGGATCCGATAAAAAACGCTGGAACATGCTCTCGCAGATCACGTAGTTCTCCATCGGAATCCCTACTCATTCACACCATCGTACAATCCAGAGCCAAGGCAAGTTTCAGGGGAATAGAGAAAGACAGGGAAGACTTTTGGAGGATGCTTACCTGCGTCCAATATGACGTCGAAGGCGGTGAGGTAATAAAGAATCTTGAAAGCCAGATCGTCGATGGCCATGGATGCAATTTGGAATTGTTTCAGGACATCGCTAAGCATTGGTATCTCGAAAGCCGTCAAGAGAGCCTGGGAAAGGGTTGGGAAGGCCTGGGGACCCAAGAGGAGGACGAATTGTCACATTGTTTCCCTGCAAATCTTAGTCATCTGGCACAGATATGACTTCTTTACAAAATTAGTCGGGAAAACCTAGAGCTCCATCGAAAAATAGAAAAAAAAACAACTAATTTTATTACTCCATCTGAGAGCTGTTCTTCTGTCTCTGGGTGTCGATTGTTGCCCCGGGATGGAATATTCTGTATTGTACGAGAATAGAAGAATTCCCACCCCCCCCCCCCCCCCTTAGCATTATGAGAGCAGAACTTAGCTCCGTTAATTTCTACTCAATGATAATTTGATAATAGGGATAATAGGGATATCAGTAATGTTTTTGCCACTCGTTGTAGCTGGAGTTCTGTGGAGGAAGAATATGCCGAATGTCCTCTTGAATGAAAATGTACGTTTTTGAATTTAGAGTCTCAGGAACTTTCTGTATCTTCAAGCTATCTCACCACACCATCCAGAAGGACAATAGCGGAGAGGATTACCTGCATCTTCGTCGCGGAAAAAGCGTCGCATGCACTTTTGGTCGTTGCACTATTTCGTCGCAGGCAAAGATAGTTGCACAGATGAAAGGAGTGAAAGCAAGATGAACTAAAATGGTAGAAATGAATAGGGCCTCTGTGCTCCTCATGGGTATCAGCTGGGTAAAGGAAGGGGAGGCAAAGGGTTGCAGTCATTATTGACGTTATTGTGAGCCGTTTCGCGTTCATATGGATGTACGTGCTCGTATTTAGAGTCGTGTTAATGGCACTGAAATACCTCAATACATCTAAAAGTAAAGGAAAGCTTGACTATGATATGGTATCTTAACTATGGTATCATTATACTGTAGTAAAGCGAAGTTTCAATAAGATAGCGCGGCGAAGTGAGCTGCGAAGCTGTACGGGTAGGATGGACATAAGAAATGACGGAATGACAAGACGCCCATTGACCACAATCATGCACCCAGTTCTGATCGTGTCCAAGTGGCAGACAGTTGGGGAGCTGAAAGTCGTCGCTGAAAATTCTCAAGAGTCCATGCGTAGACTTGTGCAAGCTGCATTTGCCCTTGTAATGCCCTTGTCATAAGGAGAGTACGACTATCTTAGTCTGCGACGAAATAGTGCAAAAACCAAAAAAGCATGCGACGTTTTGTCCGTGACGAAAGCGCCGGTCACGAGAGCAGAGGACGTACAGCACAGACGAGCATGGGGTCCTTGATCCTGGTGGCGATGTTGAGCGCACCAATGCCAGCATCCACTGCCAGATTGATCCTACCTGCTCCCAACCGATTCGTGTTCACGATCCCTGCAAAATGAGCTATGATCGGTTGCACTTCCAGTGGAAATCTCTCCAGTACCCCCAGAGTCTCCATCGCCTTCGCCTCGTATGCCTGTATACTCCAAAACCAGATTCCTGTTTATATCAAATCAGATTGCTGTGAAGACCAGCAGGAATGCAGCCTACGTCCACTTCAGAGATATCATGTTTGAGGAGGAGGACTTCCATGATGTCACAATAAGAAAGCATGAGTCCACAGAAGCAGCAATCTGCTACTTCCGCGAAGTTGAGCCCCGTCAAGGCATACAGGTGCATTGCCAATGGCTGCCTTTCATAGCTGGCAATGGACGCCAGATAAGAGAGAGTTGTGGATGCTTCCTGGTAAATAATGGAGTCCTCTCTCGCTGTCCAGTCATTCACCCCATAGAAGAAGAAATAATCTAATCCAACTATTCGTATGTCCCCAAATTACTTAAAGGAGATATCAGACCTACGCAAGGAACCGATATATTTTTGGGGATTCCCTCGATGATGCCGTTGAATAGACGCTTGACGTACGAGCTCTTTCATACACTGCTCATCATCCATGGGTATGGGATAGCCTATGATATCTAAGGCTTCCAGAAATTGTTCCTTCGCTTCAGCCATGAATCCCAGTGCTGGACGAAACGATGGAAAAGTAAATCATTTCAGAAAGCGCGAGTGGCACAGAATGCCCAGTTGTGGGTTCCTTACCGAATTTTGTTTGACCTAGCAGGACATGGGCTCTCATCCAGAGGAATTTGGAGAAGTGGGAGACGAAGTGGTCCTCTCTACTCCGGTCAGCGTTCATACTCTCTGCTCTGTTCAGAATCGAAATCCCGCGCTCGATTTGTTCCTGCGCCACCAAGGGGGTCCCGCGGTACAACTGTGTCATGGCTGTGTTGAATAAGAAATATGCCGCCTTCCCCAGACTCCCTGAGAATGTATGAGTAAAATTGAAACAAAGGATCTTCAATCTGTTCTTTTCCTTGCACGTCCCGGAAGTAGAAGAAAGCAGAGCCAAGGACTAAATACCGCCACAAAGCCAATGGTATTGGAGGTCCATGTAGACGGAAGTGAGAACCCTAGGGCAGCCGCAGTTTTCAGAGCGAATCGCGTTGGTCGTAACGCGATGAAATTCTTCGTTGAATTTCGCGTATAGACTGGAAGGTCGGTCTTTGTTGGAAGCTCGGAACGCGAAATACGAGAGGAATCGGCGAAGCCAACGAGTGAGCACGACCCAGATGCTTCTCTCCTTTTTCGCTTCCATCTCCATCACATCTCGGTCGTACTGTGTCATCATTTGATCTTGGATCCTCGGGAACTTCTCTGACATTCGGTCAATGAGCCATTCGTCAAACTTGTCCCGACAACGGTCATGGGCCTGGGTGAATCAAGTCCTGGACTTTTTAAAAGACAGACAGACCAAACTGAATGCAGAAAGGTACATACCAGGTGTGTGCAACCTTTATCGGCAGTGGGCCGCATGGAAATGTCTGACTCTTCACGCGAGCCGTAGAATGCAAAAGAAAAGGTTCCTCTCTTTTGCCCTCAGGGCATAAGGTCGCGCTGATTGCCGATGATCCTTACCCCCGCCCCACCCCTAGGAAATTCCAACGCCCCAATTCCAAAAGGGAAGCTCCTGGAATGCCGAACTTTCTGTCTTCCGTGTATGCCGATTTTACACTTTTCCGCGAATGCCGATTGAGCCTTGTCCGCGAATGCCGACTAGGACGATGAGAAATATCTCTCCACTTTGGATGATTCCGGGAATGCCGAAGTCGAAATTCGGCATTAAGGGACAGGTCGGCGGAAAAGGACGCCCCTTTGGGGCATTATCCTTGAATGCCGACACACAAAAAATGCTTTTTCGTTACAATCTCCACCCCCCTCATCTAACACTTCCGGCAAGTTTTCTTCGGCGAGCGTATAAAATGGAACGGTCTTGGATAAACGACGAACATGGCTGAGGAGGCTTCTTGTAGACTGGAACGGGGTCCTCGAGGAGGTGAAAACCTCATCGTTAACCAGCACGTATTTCGGTCTGAGAAGAAGGAGAGACGGAAGCGCTATTGGAAATGCAAGGAAGGTAAGTCCAATGATCCACATTGGGTAGATTCCGCATACCTCTTGGGTAGATTCCGCATAGCAAAAGAACCTTTTCAATATAACCTAGTGTGTAGTTCTATGACTGAAACTGATCATTCTTTTGAGAGATGCTAACTTTGTGGAGAAGACTGTTTCTTTCTAGACTAAGACTTCGTTTTCTAGACTAAGTGCAAAATTTGTAACAGCCAGGATCGGCGCATGTCACTAATTTCACTTCCTGGCGATCAACGTTCTCTCTTGATTCTTTTATATTTGGTCCCCCTCGTTTCGTTGCTTTTACGTCTCATGCTACAATTTCAGTTGGCTGCCCAGCAAGGGTTGCAACGAACTGGAGCAACACTCGAGTCCTACTTGAAAGAGGAATGCACAACCATGAGCCTAGAGTGGCTGAAATGCGCCGAAAGTGCTTCAGCCGCAAAATCAGGGAAAGATCAGCGTCAGAGCTGGCTCCTGTTCCTGCATATGCCGATAAGAACTTGTTGCAGCTGTGGCCGATGGTATTTCATTTGACCTGGTTCCATCTTTCTCATCGGTGAAGTCTGGGGCTTACGGGGCAAGACAAGCATCTTTCCCGAGGAATCCAAAGAGCAAGGCAACACTGCAGCTGCGGGGGGAATGGACCACAACGGTCGACGGCAGGCCGTTTCTACTGCACCATGACGAAGGAGAAGTCTGGAATAGTGATGCTGGGAACTGCGGAAAACGTGGCAAAGCTCTCCAAATCTGATGTGATCGTCATGGATGGGACCTTCAGGGTTGCTCCTCGTATATTCTACCAGCTGTACGTCGTTCATGGGACTGTAGGAGAACAAGTTTTCCCTCTAATTGACGGTCTACTCCCCAACAAGACCAGGAAGACCTATGATGCTTTCTTTTCTATTTTCAATACCATCGCTGAAAGCCATGGCATCAGCAATGTCATTCAAGGATGCATATTGGTGGACTTCGAGCAAGCCCCTATTGCCTCCCTCAGCAGCCTGGGGTACAGATCAAAGGTTGTCTCTTCCACTTTCGGCAGGCGATCTGGCGGAAATGCCAAGAACTAGGACTTCAGCCGTCATTCAGCAAAAATGAAGTCTCAAAATGGGTAAAGCGTTTGATGGCACTACCGCTGGTCCACCTAGAACATCTGGACGACACTTTCATGTGGATCATGGAACAAAGTCCAAATGTCGTTCCAGTAGGAAAACGGCGTGCCCTGCATGACTACATATGTGAGACATGGATGGATGATATCACACCCTGCTTCAGCAGACACTTGTGGAATCACTTCGGGAGGAGCAGACCTCGCACGACTAATTCAGCTGAAGCATGGCATGCAAAAGTGAGCGAGTTCACCAAAAGTTTCTTCATCAATGGATGCAACTCTCTGCACCGATCTTTTCCTTTTTATAGGTGAATCGTGTGATAGCGAAGTCACATCCAAATATATATGAGGTTCTTGCCTGTATGAAGGAGGAGCAAGCAGTCAACGAAATCGGAATGGCCCATGCATGCGAGGGAACTTTCCAAACCCGTAAAAAAAATCACTCGAGGTCGCATCAGAGAAGAAGCTTTTCACAAATTAGAGGACAAGTTGACCAGGCGTGCAATAACAGTTTTTCACTTCATCGACTCAGCGACGAAACTATATGGTCGAGGCATGCCAAAGTGAAAAAATTGCAGATTACCATGTGATGTGTAATTCATGAAATTGTTATTTGATATCTCAATAAAACAGAAATTCATCATACCTTTTGGAGATGTGTCGGCTAAGAAAGTAAGTAAATGCTTCCTTTACTTTAACTTTAAACTTTAAAGTACTAAAAACTTTAAAACTTTAGTCATCAAGATGTAATTGAAATTGGCCATTGGTCGGCATTCCGGGAATGTTTGACCAAGAATGCCGAGACTAAAAAATCAAAGTGGTAAAATGTACCTTCCTGAACTCGTGTGGGGACGGTGGAGTAGTGGTATAGTAGTCAAAACGAAACACATTGGTCATGAAATCAAGGGTTCGAATACGGGCAAAAAAAATTTCGGCAGTGGCGGAAGAGAGAAGGAAGAGAGTAATCGGCATTCCCGGAGAAGACTTCTGAGACAGGTTTCACAGTTCGGCGTTCGTGGAAGGATAATGCGTGTCGGCGGTCGTGGAAGCGGCATTCCAAGTACTAACCCGTAGTATACAACCTAAGATCGAGTTTCCATGGCTTTTAACCCATAAATATTTTCCCTTACTGCAGCTATTATCACGAATCTTATTTTGTGCATAACACGGTTTCACGGTGTAGCGGGCTTCCTCCATCACTGCTATCTAGCGTCTCGCTTGGTGATACACGGAGAACCGTGCGAAAGTGTTCTTAGCTCAGTTATTATATGTTTCAAGTTTTACTGTTACATTTACTATAGGTGCGACGCAGACAGGTTGACCCTCAAGCGATTTCAGCTCCTAGCCCTAGGCTTTATAGGCCCTACCTTTATCCCATCTGCTTCCAGCGCAGGCATTTCTTGCTCATAGACCTGAGTCAATAGCCATAAGGACCAAAAAGTTTTAGGCGTAATACCGAAAAGAAAGCTTCATAGGCTCTTCCTCCATAAATTGGCTGTCTTCACCAATGAAAGTGATTATGAGTGATACCCATGCGATTTGTTACTTCATTAGGCCAAGTCCTAATGTTGGGCTTGGGAACTCTAGAGATTATTATGCCTTTTATTATGCCTTTTCCAGAGAATCTTGAGTTTTCTGCATTAGCTATGACAGGATTGCCAAGTTTGGAGAGAGCCAGTCACTGTTTGACTCCAATTCTACTTTCTCAGGAACAGAAATGGTGAGTGATTCCTAATTTGTGAGGGTATACGAGGTATGCTCTTCCACATACAGTACATGAGAAAGTCTTTGTGACTTCATATTCAATGTGACTTCATGTTCTGAGAAGATGCCTTTGCATGTGCATTTCACTAGCAGATGATGAAAAAGACTCAAGCTATGATCTGCTCCTTTAAAGCTCCTCTTGAATCCTTCTGAAGATAGCTTAGAAGCTCTCCTTGGAAATGAAACAAGGATTCAGAGAGATATGGCTTTTCAGTATCTAACCAAAGACCTGCAACGACTATCCTCTTCGAAATATAGTTTATTCACCCTGAGCTGAATTGGCCAAGGCACATCATTGGAATATTTAGAAATGGGAACGACAGTTCATACCAAGGTAGAGAGAACTGCATTCATCCATTTGTCAATGCACCATAGATTTAAATGGGTTTATGTACCTTGAACTGCATCTACATGTCTATGTGAGCAATACCTCTTCAGGATTGAGAGCAAAATGGACAAAATCCTCGAGCTACATGCTTCCATCAAGTGATGTTCAAGGAGTCAGTACTGGTCTTCAATATGAGGAATTAGGAGGAATTGCAGCTTCAACATAACTCAGCTTGAGCAGGCCCGGCGCGGGAAAATGCGGGGGCCCCTGCGGCCATTGAGCCGCCTCTGGGTTTCCGGAGATTTGCCCCTCACTTCATTTTCGATTATCGAAGTCATATTATGAAAAAAAGAAAATCACTACATTTTCATTAAGCAAGGAAAGGAAAGGAATTTGTGTAAGTTGTCCAAAGATTTATCGTTCGTATTCTCGGAACCTTTGCCACCAGTTCATCGATCACTTTCTTGTAATTCCTGCTGCTGACCCCCCTTTCTTTAGAGAGTATGACTAGTCCTGTCAGGCGTTTTTGTGACATGCTTGATCTTGGATAAGTTATAAATTGTTTCAGTTTGGAGAAGCTTCTTTCTGCAGATGCAACTCTCACTCAAGCTGTGAATAGCACTCAAAGAACGATGGACACGTTAGGATGCACGGGCTTGACCACTCTTGTGAATGAATCGCGGAGTTCCAAGAGCATCAGGTGGCTCTGGTGGAAGCGTAGCCAGACTCCGAACTCATCGACAAGGTCGTTGAGCTGTTGAGGCAAAAGGTGTTTGCTTTGCAACTTTGCTAGGGTACCATCGATGATTGGGGTTGCTACCCGTTCATAATGAATATCTAATATATATAGACGATCGTGACTGACTGAGTGACGCTAATTCTAACCATGTTCTAGATATGATGGAACGATGAAACTTGGTACGTAAATGGGATGCTGAGACCAGAAAAATTACGACGTTGAAGGCAAATGCACTGGAGGCACACATTTTGGAGGGAATTTTTTCAAAATTTTACAGAGAGGAAAAGCTAAAACTTCGCATGAACGTGACTACTGAGACACTGAGTTCAGGAAAAATGCCAGTTTTTCGATACATACTCTGGGGGATTATTTTTGGGGGGATGACGATTGCAAAGAATTTGTTTTGCCCTAGCGAATCGGGCAGAAATAGGTGAAACTTGGCACACACGTGACTGATGTGA